AACAACAGTGAATGAATCTACTAACAGCTATAGTGTGCATCTTAATGACCTTATCTTCTTCCTCAGTAGTTGTTAAAACACATCAGTGAGCCACACTGTGTCACTGACTGTTATATCCCTTCATTACCATGAAAACACACAGTTTATTTTGGCTCAGTCTCACATACACCGTTCTGCTGAAACAAATACTCACTACAGCACTAAATGTGGATTGATCCACTGCTGAAAATAGTTGCTTCTATTACCTTCTGTTTATTAGATAAAAGCTACAGTTAGCAGCTATTTGAGGAAATAACTGGACCCCAAATGCCATGTCTTCAGGACCCAGTGGGCTAGGACCTGGGAGCCACACACAGGAAGTCAGAAAGTATTGTGAGATGGACTAACACATCACTGGTTTGGGGAGTTTCATGGGATGGTAAAATGATAAATAGACTTGCACAGGTATAATGCCTTTCTAGTCTTCCAACCACTCAAAGTGCTTTTTACACTACAAGTCACATTCACCCATTCACACACTGGGGTTACCATACAAGGTGCCACCTGATAAACAGTTTTTAACACATTCACACACCAATGGAACAGCCATCTGGAGCAATCTGGGGTTCAGTATCTTGCCCAAGGATACTTCAACATGTAGAGAGGAGGAGCCGGGGATCGAACCATCGATCTTCCAATTAGTGGACAACCAGCTCTACCTACTGACACTGACAAACATAGAATAATGCAAGCCTTATCCTACAACAAAGACAAACAGAGATCCAAAATGTAAAGTAAAAATAACATATGATTTGACATAGCTTCTTTCAGTCCCTGTGAGCTCTGGGTCCTTTCAGAAAAGGAAATTGTGGCAGAATGACTGCTGAGAGGAAGCAAAGGTGCCCTGACAAAATTGAAATCTGACATTTAAATGTTATAATTGGAGTAAGTGGCATGCTACACATCACATACTAGAATGTGGATTACAAATCAGAATGTTTTACTCACTGAGTTATGTGTACATACATCTACAAATATATCATGTACAAAAGTGAGTACATTTAAATGTAAATAATATTTATTTTAGGAAGCTTATAGAGGGCCATACATACATGCCAACCTTAGCTTGCTAGTAAACCTGATATGTATATACATATATACATCACATAGATATAAAAGAAATAGATCTAACTTTTCCTGATGACATTGCTAGAAGTTGAGAGAGCAAGCAGAGTGACACACAGTGTCAAGAGTCTGGCCCGTTAGCTCGCTCACTCTTCCTGTAGGTAAAAGTGTCTCATTGATGTATGTGACAGGGCTATCCTGTCCATCAGCAGCTACTTTCAACAGAAGATTATTTTTTCTGCATCTTCATCTTCATTGGACAATCCATAGCAAAGAGGCAAACAGGAAATACAGGGAGAAAAGGGCTCCCCTGCTGGACATTGTGGTTCTGTGAAATGTGCTGTAACCATTCAGCTTCAGCACAACACTCTGTTCATTGTTACCTTTTTCATGAGGTGAAATTCCTTAAAATGCTTAGTTTGTTACACACATGGAAAACCTCTCCAAGAATAACCCAAAGTCTTACTTATCATTCTTTCAATATTTATTAATCTTTAGAATTGTTAAAATTGCAGTTGTGTGCTGAGATTATGGTCATTTCCATGGTCTTGATTTTTTATGATGATTTTTTTTCTATGAAGAGTAACTTAACACTAGGTCAACTTTTTTGAGTAAGTAAATTACATGTACATGTACTTTGTTACCCTACTGATCCTGGTCCCATTCCATAGTGTTTACTGCAACAGAAGGTATTTTCTGTTTACATAGAATAGCCTTTAATTCTATCATCTAGATCCGCCAAAAATCAGGGAAAATCTATGATGAAACTTCAGACACTCATATGACATGACATATAAATACAGCACTCAACTGTGTGGACAGTATGCAGTATGGAAAGACTGAGTAGCAGTGGTAGAAAAAAATGCTACTGCAGCAGAAACACTATCTCTTCTACTTTCTAATAAAGTGCACTTTAAAAAGGGTTTACAAGTGAATAACAAGACGATCTGATCTCAAGGACCATTTAGTAGCTCCATCGAGTCACATCCAGATGAGTGCAGATGAGAGTGGCCCAGTTGTCACAGAAATATAGAGGTTCAAATTGCCATGTTTCTAAGCACTTTAAGAACCTCAATTTTTATATCAGTTAGTGGTATTATACACAGTAATTAATAAGAACACCTTTTGGGTTTCCAGGTTGTGAAAAATCTCTGGCTGGTGAGTTATTAATCGTCAAGGCATTAATAAAGTCATTAATAAATGGGAATGACAATCTCACTTGCTAATATGCCATAAAGTCTGCAGTTATAAAGTTCAGTAAGTCGTTAATAAGCTATCAAGTCTGTGGTTACAAAGTTTATTAAGTCGTAGGGTGCCCAACAGCTCAATGGGTAGAGCAGGCATTCCATGTACAAAGGCAATGTCCTTACTGCAGCAGCCATAGGAGCATGTCATTCAACCAACAAAATTTAGTAAGTCGTTAATAAGCCACCAGGTCTGTGGTTATAAAGTTTAATATGTTAATAAACCATCAGGTCTGCGGTTACAGAGTTTAGTGAGTTGGTAATAAGCCATCAGGACTACAGTTTAAGGGTTAAGTCAGTCTGTAACAAGCCATCAGATCTATGATCATAGTGCCACCTTAGCTGGGTTTTTTTCACTACTTAAAAAAAACACACAAAGTCATTATCAAAAGGTCAGAGGTTATTAACTTTTTTAAGATGACAACTGAAGTTAGTAAATCATTTGTTGATAAACTCATTATTCAAAAATCTATTTAATCTGCAGTTGTAAATATTTATAAGCGGTTATTATATTAATTTTTGTCTAAATCCTCTGCAGCATTTTCCAGATGGTTTGAGGTCAAACAATCCATTAGAGGATTCTTCCCGATGGATCAAAGAGCTAAAAAGACTGGGGGATGATTTTCCCCAACCTAGCAACTTAAAAGATCTTTCTATAAATGGCTTTTAAATAAATGATTTATTAACCATGAGCAAAACTATTAAGGCTTATAAGAAGTAGGCTAATACCATGTGTCTGATCACTAAAAGCTTGTTTATTTGAACAAAAACCCAAATGTGGCTCATGTATATGAAACTACAAAATGAACATTTCACTGATACATTTGATATTATTTTATGTCCTTGTGTTTTATGATTTTATTTCTTGCTTCTTTTTCTTTTCATTGTAAAGCAGTAACACTTTGTCCAAATACTTCACAAGTAAAGCACAGAGAAGAAGCCTATACAGCACACTACATGATAGTCAGGAGAGGGATGCTCCACATTTGAACAGCAGCAGTACGCATGTTGAGGGTGACTGTGGTAGCATATTTGGTGCCCTACTGGCAAGTATCCCCTGGACATTTAGCGAAGTTACAGTTCCAGGATGCAGGACTGATTTAGTCACTGAGAGGCACATAAAGGCTGAGACTGAACAAAGCTGTCATTGATAGCAGCCAGATGACACTGTCCTCCCTGCTGCAGAACACAGGAGACCGTTGAGATGCCTCAAGATAAAGCGCACACAGAATAAACATAGCACCTTCACATCCAAATTCCTCTAGGTTATGTCCTTAAATGCTCAGAGATTGCGCAACTTTAGATGCTTTAAGCTATACCAAGTGTTTGAAACATGTCTTATAATGTAAAAGCCCAGTGTAGTTCAAAGACTAGGCCCATAGGCTGTCACAAATTGCAGTTATTAATCACACAAGGTTGTGTCCAATCCCTTGGTGTGTGTGTATTCGCTTATGAAAACCTGGATGTTAAACATTAGTAATTGCTGATCTGTATGATAAATGGATGTGTTGACTTTGTGGTAAAACGATTCTGTTGCACCTTTGTGTCTTGAGCCAATCACATAAAGACCAGTCATCATCCAGCCTCTGATCCGTTTCTCAATTGCTGACTCGTCCTTGGATCCAACCCAAATATTCCCTCTTAATCATATCCCATAAAGAAAGATAAATAAAGCTGATCAGTAATTATCCACCACAGTGTCCCAACTGTTTCGGTTTATTCATATAACAGAAAGGAAATCCAGTTATGAACATGCAAAACAATAAGGTGTGCAACTACATCCCCTTGTAACCTGTATAGGAGCCGTTCTTCCAGGTGTGGAGGAAACTGAATGCCAAATCCCCTTAAAAAAATCTGATAATGTGGGGCGTCGGTAGCGTAGTGGATAGTACCGGCGCCCCATGCACAGAGGCGATGCCTCGCCGCAGCGGTCGCGGGCTCGACCCCGGCCTGCGGCCATCAGCCGCGTGCCAACCCCCATCCTACCCCGTCCTGCTCATCAAAGGCAAAAGCCCAAAAAAATAATCTTTAAAAAAAAAAATCTGATAATGTAAGAGTGCGCTGTTTATATAAATGGTAGAATACACACAATGTGAAGTATAACTCAATATAGTGTTCTGATACACTGTGCGTATAGATAACCTACCAAAGCAACATTTCAGACCAATAAAAATCTTTATTTGAATACTATAGTTATATGAATTAGAAGAAGTGCTCTCGGTTATTATAGCGTATAAATAATCTTTAAAAAAAAAAAATCTGATAATGTAAGAGTGCGCTGTTTATATAAATGGTAGAATACACACAATGTGAAGTATAACTCAATATAGTGTTCTGATACACTGTGCGTATAGATAACCTACCAAAGCAACATTTCAGACCAATAAAAATCTTTATTTGAATACTATAGTTATATGAATTAGAAGAAGTGCTCTCGGTTATTATAGCGTATGCCGATTTCAAGGATTTATTTTATCATAACTTACAATGTTAATGATCATGACCTTACATCACGATATATTTGGCAATACCCGCGACAACCTCAACTGACTAATTTTCCAAAGGGAGTTTGGTTTGAATAAGAATCGCAGTGCTTTTCCGCTATGATGTGGGGGGATGGGAAGAGGGCGGGACCGCAGTCCAACGGCTGTTTAAAAACGGGGCAGGTGAGAGTGAAGGAAGAGCAGATCCTGCAGTCCACCTACAGTCTCACCTGACCCTTCCATAACAGGTAAGATAGCCTACATCATACTTACAATATCTTACCGCCACTTACGACCATACTTCTCATATACTGCACTGTAGTTGTAGGGAAAGTAGTCAGTTATTTAGCTTAAAGTTCAGTTGGCTGCTTTAAAATATGCTTAAAGAAAATGAAACAGAAGAAAAGATAGCTGGGTGAAGTTATCTTTAAAGGAAATATTAAACGTTGTTAAGGAGGGATAAAAGTTTTAATTTGCAAGAAAGAAGGACAGGAAGGCTAATAATTATCTAGCTGATAACTAAAACTTAACAGATACAACACAATTGGAAATCAAAGTAAAGCATGAGTCATCACAGTGACTTGTGATGTTGCACTCTGTGGAAGTCTTAGAAAAAGTCTATGGGCTGCTTCGGTGTGGTCACTCTGGTGGTTCCATTTGTACTAACTGAAATGTTATTTTCAAAGTACAGCTCAGGCTATTTACTTTTGTCATTTTTGAAAAATGGGATTTTTGTTTAAGAGTCATCTCTGTATGTATCCAAAGAAGTCAGTCATTCTAATTCCAGCCATTCTATTATTTTAACTTTTAATAACTTAGAAATAACTTGTTAATGTTGGCATAAACACAGATCCTAGTCCTGAAAGTGCATAAACAATACAATAACTCTTATTTCTCTTCACTTGTTTCCAGTGCAGTGAAAATGCCAACAAAATCATTTAAAGAAACAAATAAACAAACAAAAAACAATTACAGATTCCTCTGTAGTAGGAACTAGATGTAAATCAACTCTTTTCTTTTTCAAAGGAAATGGAAAGTTTACATTTCTTCCATTCCTGACAAACGTGATTCCATTCTGGTACTGTTCCTTCTTTGATCACACTGTTGGAATATTTTTTCCTCCTGCCTTTGTCTGTTCCTCATGTTCTAGTAAGTCTGAAGATGATCAAAGCGGCATTGACAGTGCTCTTGATCCTGGTGGCCATGTCTTCCACCTTTGGGAAATACAGCCCGAAAACAGGCAGGAGGAGTGTTCAGACTCTGTCCAGAGGTTTGTAAGCAGCATCTGAATGACTGAGACTTAAATATATTGCAGTACATACTGAGACAATGCAGAGTCTGTCATTTATCTCTGATCGTGTCCATGTCTGTCCAGGTTGGGGTGATCAGCTAATCTGGGCTCAGACTTACGAGGAGGCTCTCTACTGGTCCAGGTCAAGGTTAGAAATGTTTCTAAGACTGACATCAACATGTTTCACTCTGACACTGACGTTCATTAAAGGTTAATGATTAAATGTAATAGGAGCTGATTTGTGTTTTAGAAACAAGCCTCTGATGGTCCTCTTTCACCTTGACGATTGCCCACACAGCCAAGGTAATTCTAACATCTGGATTCTGTTATTTGAGTTATTAAAGGAATACTTCACCATTTGTACATCAGTTACTCACCCTGTGTTACGATGAATTCATGAAGTACTTTTTCTTGCAGGCTAGTTGAAAGAAGAATCTGATAACTAAAAATAAATCTTTGATGAATTTGAGTAAAAGAGGTCTGTGTTACACAACAACAAAAATATATCAGAACATCCGTTTACAAACTGTCACACAAGTCTTGCAGTAAAACCCAATTCTCAGTTATTCAGTCATGTGCTCAGTACTTCCCAAACACATGACTTTTCATTAGAAAGCCTTACTATTTCAAACACCTCCACATTCTGAGTTGTGTGCTTGGGCATGTGTTTGAACTCTGCTCATGCATTCCACTGAGAGTATAAAGGTGCACTACTCATCTGTGCCTGAGACTGTTAATGTGAAAGTGTTAAAAATAGTAATGCTCTAGTAAAAATGCATTCATGTTTGGGAAGTACTGAGCATACTACTAGATAAATGAGGCTTGGATTATACTACATGAGCTGTGTGAGAGTTTGTAAATTGATGCTCTAATATAGTTTTGTTATCAAATGAGGTCCCTGTTACTTCAATTCACAGCGCATGACTAAATCATAAATTGAACAGTCTTGTTATGGATGAAGTGCAGTTACTCATGCAGGAAAAATTGAAAAAAAAAAAAAATTGATTGAATTAAGTGCCAAACCTGTTTGAAGAGCAAGCAGTACTTTGTTTGCTCATGTGTGGTGTCATATCCTGGTGTTGTTCTGCACCAAGCTCAGGTGCTAATGAACTGAAACTGAACTGAATTGAAAACCTGTTTCACCCACAGCACTGAAGAAGGTTTTCTCTGAGGACGTCGAGCTCCAGAGAACGCTTGATGAGGACTTTATCATCCTCAATCTTGTGGTAAATTACAGGATTTTCAGATCTGGCTGAACAATGATGCATACCACTGAATCTTTCAAAACCTTAAAAAAACCTTGTGTCATAATTGATTATATTGTTTGGCATTAAAGCCCATGCAAACTTTCTCCATACTATCAAATACTCTCCACTAAACAAGAAACAATTAAAATAAAAATTTAGCTTAGTTACTGTTTACCATGAGTTTAACTGTCAACATGAGTAAACACCTCCTCAACAGTCATCACATTGATATTCAGATGTTACTGAACTACGATTGGTACACATAAATTTATGACATCACCTTTACAAACAGAGCCTTGCCCACTTAAAAAGGCACTTAAAAGAGTTCAGACAAAATACAATGTCTGGTGTCAAACCAAAACCCCAAGTGCTCTGCCTTCGTTCATCACTCATAGGAAACAGCTGATTAAGAGTATTTTTTTTTTAATTTAGTGATTTTTCAAAAACACTAATGCTCTAAGATGGCATGGTTCAGACTCTGATATGTTTGATGATCTGTTCTTCCTTTTCTCAACTACAGTATGAAACCACAGACAAAAATCTCTCTCCTGATGGAAAGTATGTTCCCAGAATCATTTTTGTCGGTAAGAACTAGACTGCAACACCTGTTAACATGTCTCTGTCATAGATAAGGTTACTCGCCTTCAGTGGAACACTTTGTTTACTGTTATAACTCAAAGAAAATGTAAAAGAAGGAACACTTATGACAACAGTGACAGCTTTCAAGGAGCCACACTTTGGTGTCAATTCTATTGGAGTCAATGAGGCAGGCACAGCAAGTCACAATATAACCCATCATATTTGTGTGGTTTCAACTTTCACTGAAAAATCTTTCTATTAGATTAAAAAACACACATTACGTGATGCCAACTGATTTTTAAAAAAATCTAAATATGCATGTTTGTTTTCTTTGTTATTGGTCTCCAAACAAAAGACCAGCAGACACTGAGATGCAGCTGATGAACAGAGCCATCATCTGTTTGGAAACCAATAACAAGGAAAACAAATGTGCATATTTAGATTTTTTTTTTTTTTTAAAAGTCAGCATCATGTAATGTGTGCTTTTTAATGTGGTGGAAATATTTTTTCAGTCAAAGTTGAAAAAACAAAAGTATTATTGGTTATTGTGTGATTTGCAGTGTCCGCCACATTGACTCCAAGTGAGCTGACGCCAAAGCCCGCCTATCGAAGGGTCCATGTCATTGGTCCGAGAGCCCATTGGTCCGACATCCCATTAGTCCGATGGTCCGCACGCGGTGCTGAACGGCTCCCGGCAGGCGTATTTCTGCCTTGATGGTGCGACCAGCTCTGGGTCAGCTGGGAAAGGCTTGAGGCGAAGCAGGCTCACAGCTTATGTGTTTGTCACTTTCTTTTTCATTTTAAACCACACCATGATCTTTTCCTAACCCTAACCAAGTGGTTTTTGTGCCTAAACCTAACCAGACCTTAACCACAGGGCATCATGATGATTTCGGAACGGACTTTGGAACAATGGATTTAATATGGTCGGAACAATGGGATGTCGGGCAGTGGGCAGTTCCCCTTATCAAATGCTGTCACTGACATATGACCTTTCCTTCTTTTATAGTTTCCTTGTTTTGACTAACTACATCATTGCTTTTTAGTACTGTACATTGACATCAAGGCTGAAGGTTTCTGTTTTCACACAAAGCATCTTAGCTGCAAGTGTGTGAGTGGAAAGCATTTTGACCATTTGATACCACACTGTCACTTTAGATCTGTGTTTCCTGTCATATCATTGCCAGGGTATTCACTATGTCAAAACTACTGCCACTAATTATTTGTTTCTCCTGGGGCTCAGTATAGTGTTAGCGTAACTGTAAATAGTTTTACGCTATGCTAATGGTATATTTTTCGATGTTGGTTGTAAGATGATTTGACCAATGACTGTACCCAGCAGAGGAGAAAGTATTCAGAAATACTGCATTACAAGTAAAAATCCTGCCACTCAGCACCAATAATGTCTTTACAGACCCCACAATGACGGTGAGGGCCGAGATCAATGGTCGCTACTCCAACCGCATGTATACCTATGAACCGACTGACCTCAAACTCTGTAAGTGTTACAGTTAGCAGATTAAGTCTCTGCCAGCAGTGAAACACAGACTGAATGAATGTAACCATTTCCTGTCTCTCCCTCAGTGAAGAGCAACATGCAGAAAGCCAAGAAGCTCCTGAAGTCTGAGCTGTGAGCATGATGACGAGGCATGCTTGACTTGTGGCTGCCAGAGTTATTTGTCACCACAGTTGGCAATAACATGTTGTCACTACAGTTTACACATGGAAGGCTAAGCACTGGAAAGTTCCCTTTCCTTACCTTCACTCGGAATGTTTCCTCCTTAAATTCTCTTCCTAAGTCTTACCCTTGTTATTACTGCTGTGCATCCCGAATGTCTTTTGAATAAATATGAAACTGTTAACATACAAGATGGATAGTTTGCCTTTTTATTTACCCACAGATTGCAGGGAAGTTTGAAACTCAGAAGAATACATGAATAATACACAAAAGGATCACAGTACTTTAATGTAAAAGCACTCAGTAGTAAGTAGCACAACTTTTACTGTTAGTGCTACTGCAGACTTCTACTGGCTAAACCAAATATTAAAGGACTGGATGAAATAAAGGAGGTATATACAAGCCTCAGCGTACAGCTATTTTACACTAAGTGTTGGAGAGCTTAGCGATGCACAGGATAATCCCTCAGTACAGCCTGAAGGGTGCATTGCCTGTCACTTAGCTGAGTAGCCTGTCTAACCTAGTGGCTAAGGTTTGGGAGGGTTCTTTTAAAACACTTGTAGTATAAATATCTGATGATGTGAGAGCCTTCTATAGAGGAAACAGTACAGGGATGCCAGACAGCATTCTACTGCTGTTTTTTTTTTTTTTTACACTTTATTTTTGTTGTGTAGAGTGTTGTAAAGAGGTAAAGGGAAAATGCATACAAAACAGAATACAAACAAACAGAAATAAGTATACAAAAAAATAAAAAGGTCCGGATTGCCCTGTCTCTCAAAAGCTATTCATCCCTGTGTTGGTGGTTCTGCCTTATACCATGTCTTCGTGATGGCCTTTTTACAGGCTCCCAACAAGATTTTCATTAGGTATCTGTCTTCTCTTAACACAATTCCTCCTGCCATATATACAATACCATGCATGATCTAGGTATATCATAACCCAAAATTTTAATAATAACCATATGAACATTTACCCAAAACTGCACAATTTCAGGACAGAGTCAAAATATATGAGTATGATCCATGTTTATTGCCCCACATCTTCTCCAACATGGTTGTGCTGTAGACAAGTATTTTGTTCTAAATCTTGGGTGTAATAAAGAATCTGATTATAATCTCCCAACAGTGCTCTCTTCAAGTGCGAGAAGATGTTGTAGACTATTGTGTTCTCCAAATATGCACCACCCCACTTTTTACAGTCTGTTCCCTCTGGGAATTACAGATGTGGCAACTGTACCCAGTGTAACTTCACACACAAAACTTCTACTTTCAATCATCCACGGACTGGCAAGTCTTTCAACATCAAGGGTGTGATTTTATGTTACACTAAAAATGTTATTTATTTGCTTAAGTGCCTGTGTGGCCTGGTATATGTCGGTAAAATTTTAATTTAATCCCCCTGAGGGGAAATTCAATTTTTTCACTCCCTTGTCATTAACCCTCAGTAGCTGGTATGATGTTGCATTTGATTTTTTTTCTGCTACTACTGTGTGAGCCATGTTCTCATGTTTGTCTGCATCTGTCATTTTGCTGTGGGTTTGATACTTACTTGTTAGAGGCGCCTCTACAGTACATTTTTTTTTTCCTTTAATGTCACATAAGTTTATGATGGTCTTCACCTGATGATTTCTTCATGCGATACTTGGAGTGTGTGTGATATATTTATATTTACATTTGCACTGCAGGTCTTATACCTGCGCAAATTCTCTCAAAATATTCTCTAAAAGAATTTTGTATAGTGGTATTTTGGTATTTTTGCATTGTATTGTACTTTGATCTTTTGAATTGTATCTATGCATGCATGTATTTTCCTATGCTTGTGCATAGATATATTTGAATTATATGTACATGCATTTTTTTCTGATTTATTTTTTCACACCTGTGGTTTATCACCTGAGTGTGTCAGGTGACCCTAAGGGGTTGTACATATGGAGGTGCGTATCCACATTCACTTCATGTCTGAAGAAGGGCAGGAGCCCGAAACGTTACATCAAATAAATTCTTCAAGGAGCAGCTTCTGGTGTGCGGACTTTATCTTTTATTTCATTTTTACTCTAAATATGCAACCATTCATCTTTTGTAATATTCACACACAATTCTTTTTCCCATTTCAGCTCTACATTTAGTGTCGTGTTTCCTCTTCTCTCTAATAAACATTGATGTAGTGTAGATATTATTTTGTATTTCCTTGATTTGTAAACTCCAATTATGGTTCTAATTTTTCCATTTTCATCCAAATTTACAGTAAGCGTTATTTCTCTGCCATAGAAGTCCCTTAGTTGCAGATAAAGTGGTCCTGGTTGTTTAATGCATAGCTTTGTTTCAGCTCTTGAAAACTCATAACATTCCCATCCTTTATTATTGTGCAGGGCACTGTTATACAATTGTTAATTAATTGTTTGAACCTTTGGTCAAGGGTACCTGGGATAAAATGTCTCACATAGGCTATCCACTGAAATAACTTAAGTTCTTTCTCTAATCTATATTTCCTTACTAGATTGAACCACAATTCTAATGTAAATCCAGTGACAGCATCCACCTACTGAAGTACATCCTTTACTGCATCTCTGTCTCCTATGAAGCTATGAATTTCCCTTCTTTGTACATATCAAATTTTTCCATTTTACTTCATAGTCCTTAGCACACCAATAAATTACTGGTCTAATTTGTGCTGCATGAAAGTAGTCTTTGAGGTTCAGCAATGCCATACCCCCTCTATACTTCCTAGTCTGTAATATCTTAATGTAGATTTGACTCTTGAGCTTTGTCCATTCCATACAAACCTTGAAATAACTTTGTCCTAGGCTTGAAATTGTTTCTAAGGGATATCTAATGACTGAAATAAGTAAAGGAGTCTTAGAAGTGTATTCATTTTAATAGTAACTATTCGTGAACTAAAATCCAGTGGAAGAGCAGCCCACCTCTCAGTATCCTTTGTAATGTTCTGATCCACTTTGATATAATTGGCTTCATATAATTTATCTATTCCTGTTGTTATTGTTACCCCAAGGTATGACATTTTTTTAAAGCTCCAATCCAAATTATATTTTTGTCGTATAATTTTAGATGGGTAGTAATTCATTGTTGTTGAGATCATATTTCTCCTGTTCTAGCTTCTCTGCACTGGCTCCCTGTAAAATCCAGAACTGAATTTAAAATCCTACTGTTAACTTATAAAGCTCTAAATGGTCAAGCTCCGTCATATCTTAGAGAGCTCATAGTGCCATATTATCCCACCAGAACACTGCGCTCTGAGAACGCAGGGTTACTCGTGGTCCCTAAAGTCTCCAAAAGTAGATCAGGAGCCAGAGCCTTCAGCTATCAGGCTCCTCTCCTGTGGAATCATCTTCCTGTTACGGTCTGGGAGGCAGACACCGTCTCCACATTTAAGACTAGACTTAAGACTTTCCTCTTTGATAAAGCTTATAGTTAGGGCTGGCTCAGGCTTGCCCTGTACCAGCCCCTAGTTAGGCGTGACTTAGGCCTAGTCTGCCGGAGGACCCCCCTATAATACACCGGGCACCTTCTCTCCTTCTCTCTCTCTCTCTCTCTCTCTCGTATTCTATTACTGCATCTTGCTAACTCGGCCATTCTGGATGTCACTAACTTGGCTTCTTCTCTGGAGCCTTTGTGCTCCACTGTCTCTCAGATTAACTCATATCGCAGCGGTGCCTGGACAACGTGAAGTGTGTGGTTGTGCTGCTGCCGTGGTCCTGCCAGATGCCTCCTGCTGCTGCTGCCATCATTAGTCATTAGTCATACTTCTACTGTTATTATACACATATGACTATTGTCACACATGTATACTGCCAGATGTTAATACATACTTTCAACATATTGTACCACAGTAGCCAGAACTATAACTATAATATTATTACTTTCAATAATGTTGTTGTAAGCTAGTGTCATTACCTGCATCTCTCTCTCTCTCTCTCTCTCTCTCTCTCTCTGTCTCATTGTGTCATACGGATTACTGTTAATTTATTCTGCTGATCTGTTCTGTATGACATCTATTGCACGTCTGTCTGTCCTGGAAGAGGGATCCCTCCTCAGTTGCTCTTCCTGAGGTTTCTACCGTTTTTTTTTTTCCCCCTGTTAAAGGTTTTTTTTTTGGGGGGAGTTTTTCCTTATCTGCTGCGAGGGTCATAAGGACAGAGGGATGTCGTATGCTGTAAAGCCCTGTGAGGCAAATTGTGATTTGTGATATTGGGCTTTATAAATAAAATTGAATTGAATTGAATTGAATTGAATTGTTAAAATTAGTGTTTTAGCAGGAGTGGACGTATGAACTGCGAGGTCCCAACTTTTATACATAAATTAGGTATAATTCTTTTAAATGGTCTGATTAAGCCATCTTTTACTTTGATATCTGAAGAGTTAACAAGATATTTCAGTTTTTTTTTGGGAAGATTTCTGGAACAAAATGCCCCCTCCTTAAACTGTGCAAGCTAGTAAGGTGGAAGCTAATGCTACTAGCAAGACAACTGTGGATGAAAACATGCTGCATGCATTCCGCAAGATTGAAAAAGAAGTTATTCAAGAAAAGAAGAACTGCCTATGAGAAGAGATAAAATGAGCCACCTCTCTGATTAGAAACAACAAACTTCGTGATCACGAAGAAGGACTGAAGAGGCTGGATGTTTGCTTGGAGGCCATGGAAACACAATATACACAGTTAAACAGTGACAATAAAAAACTTCAAGCAAAAACTGATGATCTGGAAAACAGTGGAAGGCGATGCAATTTACACATAGGAGTACCTGAAGGTCTGTAAAATGGAAATACCACTGAATACATCGCCTGCCTTCTATATGACACACTTGTTTGCTCTGTATATGCTTCCTCTTGGAAACATTATCAGCAGGTTTGAAGATGTATCATATCATATGTACGCAGATGATATTCAGCTGTATTTTTCTTTTAATCCTTACAGGACCAACAGTCTGAATGTACTGCATGACTGTTTGTCTGCAATTAATGACTGGATGGTCAACAATTTCCTCCAGCTTAACGCTGCTGAGACCGAGGTCCTTATTGTCGCTCCTGACTGTACTGCTTCTAAGGTGGCTAGCTGTATTGGGTACCTGAATTCAAATATCCACTTTAACCTGAGAAATCTCTGAGTTATTTTTGACCAGGCTATGCACTTTGATAAACACATCCATGCGTTGACCCGTACATACAGTACAGGC